CACCTCCAGCCTCCCACCCTCACAGCCGTGACCTTCTCTCTGGGGACGGGGAACAGGAGCATCTGAATCTGGCCCAGCAGAGGCTGCAGCTGGACCAAGTCAGACAGGACCTGCCCTCCAGCCCCATGGGGCTGTTTGCCAAGGCACAGGGCCTGGCATCCTCTGGCCCAAGTGGTAAGTGCCTCTACAAGAATGGGACTTTGACCACTGGGCAGGGCAATGTCAGGAGCATCAGATCCATGTCTCCCTCTACTCAAGTTAGGGGGCTAGCTGGGTTTTAAAGTTATCTTGTTACTACTTTTTTACAGAAGCAGTGCATGTTCATTATAGAAAATTAAATTTGAAAATGGAGGGAGAAAAACTTTTTTTGAAAGTTACTCTCAGCCGCACTTTCTAGAGAGAACTACCTTTAACATTTTGGTGCATAGCGTTCTAGACTGCCATGTGTGTTTTTAAAAACAAAATTGAGCCTGGCTGGTGCGGCTCAGTGGTTGAGCATTGACCCATGAACCAAGAGCTCACTGGTTTGATTCCCAATCAGGGTACATGCCCAGGTTGTGGGCTGAATCCCAAGTAGGGGGTGTGCAGGAGGCAGCCAATCGATGATTCTCTCTCATCGATGTTTCTCTATCCCTCTCCCTTCCTCTCTCTCTAAAAATCAATAGAAAACATTGTTTTAAAAAATTGACATCTCATATATTGTTTGGTACTTTGATTTTTTTTACTTGGAAATATACATACGGAGCATGTTTTCATATCAGTAAACATTTAACCATAATTTTTAATCAGCATAAGTTTCCATTATGAGGCTGTTCCATATTTTTTATTTTCTATTGAGTGATTTTTTTGTCACTAAGATAAAGAGCACATTAGTAAAAATATTTGTACATACATCTCTGCACCTCTGATTATTTCCCTGGAATAAAGTCCTAGAATTGGACTTGCCAGGTAAAATCCCCTGAGCATTTTCAAAAGCTTTTCAGAGTTGGTGGATGTGCCAGAAGATTGGTTCTGGCTGCACCCACCCACAGTGGTAAGAAGGCCCCCGCGAGACAGGCTGTGGCCGTCGTGTCCTCCCACCAACACTTGGTCCCTGACCTCCTCAGCTTTTTCAGCCATCGTGGCTCCTGTTCCCGCCAATCCTCAGGGCAGCCAGCCACCAGCCAACCTAGGCCCTTCACTCCTCCACGCCAAGCTGGTGCTGTTGAAACACACAGCTGAGCAGGTAAGCATCCCGTAGCAGGGGTGGCCCAACCCAGGCCTGCCATTCCCCCTGATCCCAGGGGTCTTCATGGTCACACTGGTGACAGGCAGCTCAGGGCAGTCAGACAGGAGCACATCCTGGCCCTGAGGAGGGCTGAAGCCACCCCTTGGAGGAGAAAAGTGCACATTGCTTAGTGACCATCTCTGAGACCTGCCCTGTAGGCCAGATTCTGTTCGAAGCCATTGCTTGTATCATGTCAGTGGAACCTCACAGTAAGCCTGTGATGGTAGTTACAGTAGTTCCCACTTACGGAGCATTTCCTGTGTTTCAGGCTCTGTACTGAAACTCTGCCCTCCCCAGCTCTACAAGGCAGATAATGCTGTTCTCTCTAGTTTACAGACAGGCTTAGAGAGGTGCAGTCATGTGCTAGCAAGTGGCCTTGCCAGGACTGAGACCTGGTCTCACTTCTCCCTCCAGGTCCCTCCTTCAGCCTCCAGCTTCCCAGAGCGAGGGAGGAAATGGGGAGGGGCCCTGAGTGAGGGCTGGCTCACTAGCACCTAGGGATCCCCCTCTCAGTCCCTCGAGCCTATGTCCCTGTTCACAAAAGTGGTACAGGAGGGAGCCAGAGGGTGACTACTCACTCAGCTCTGCATTTCAGGACCGAGACTTCTTGGAGAATGAACAGTTCTTCCTGGAGACCCTGAAGAAGGCCTCCTACAATGTGACATCCCACTCAGCCTGAAGGGCCCTGCTGCCTCAACAGAAGACTCCGACCCTGACACTCTCTCCTGCTGCCCACTGGCTGCCAGTCCAGGGAGGGGGTGCCCAGGGCCTGATAACAGCTCTGCCTGTGGACAGGGTGCAGGGGCATTCCTTCTGAGCACGCCAGCCGTGGCTGAAGCTGCAGGTGTCCCCGTGCCTCTAAGGTTTGAGGTACAATGGCCTCTGGGGAGACAGTGCTGAGAGGCTCAGCCCCAAGACACTGTCAGCCTCAGCTTTGGTTCTCTCGCCCTGAAGATGTCCAGCTGGGACCCCAGGGTCCACCTGGGCTCTGTGGACCCCTCCCGTCCTCTGCAGGCAGATGGTTGGGGGATCTTTTCACCTGCTCCTCTTCTGAGGCAGGGTGTCTTCTCAAGGGATGCCTAAGAGGCCAGCAGAGACAGCACAGGGTCCCTTCCCTACTGGGTGTGTGGAGTAAGACCACATGTTTTGAAGGGTCTCCTATCCTCCTGGCCACAGGTAGGGGATGCAGGGGCAGGAAGGGTGCCGTGCCCAGCCAGGTTTTCTCTCACAGTCCGACGTGCTCTTGGGACTCAGCTAGCCCTTCATGCTTACCCAAAGCCCGAGTGATTAGCTCAGCATGGACACTGGCTTTGCTGGCTGCTTCTCACAGGCTCCCCAGAGGCTGGCGGAGGGAGGGGTGGGGAACAGGACAGGAAGGCTGCTTTTGTGTTCACCTGCCACAAGGCCACAACTGGGTGGGAATGAAGACAGAGCCGGGCCTCTGCCCTGGGAGGGTAGGAGCACTGGGAACCCTGAGGGACGCACCCAGGATGTCCCCTAAGGTGGGCACATTTCCACTTGTGGTTGGGCCAAGACCAGCTGGAGGGGTACCAGAAGGAGAGGGGTAGGAATTGCAGTTACTTGTAAAGCGGCTTCTCTCGGTGAGCTTATGACCGTCCATGGAAAGAACATGTCCTCGAGCAGGAAGAGCTGAGTGGGCCTTGAACAGGCAGTTTGTGTGTCTGTCTCAGAACAGCTTTCAGAGGGATCTTACTTGTTTACCAACAGTTTACACCATGTTGGACCCATCAAAGTGCTATATATATTTTTAATCCAGCCAGTTCGTTTCTTGCATTATTTGATTTAGAGATAGCCCTTCCCTTTCCTGTTTTACAATTTCACTGTGTATGCACGTATGTGTCCACAATACAGAATATTGATTTGTGCGTTTAAAAATCGGTCTAGCGCTGGCCAGCGTGACTCAGTTGGCTGGAGCACCGTCCCATACACCAGAAGGTGGTGGGTTCGATTTTCCGGTGGGGGCACGTGCCTAAGGCGCGGGGCGATACCTGGTGCGTGGGGGAGGCGCAAACGTTTGCTGGCCGGGCCTGGGACCCTCAAGCCTGCAAGCCACACTCCGCGGGCAGCGGGACCGAGGCTCAGGGAGCTCCGCCTGCCCGGTGGCCGGCCGCGGGCAGGAGCCCCAACC